CGGCAAAGCCTCGGACTAGGAGCCGGAGGCCCGGGAGGACGGCAGTGCGCACGGAGAACATGCTGCGTGCGCGCGCAATGGGGACGGGGAAGGGAGGAGCGGGGCGAGGGGGCGGGGACAACGATGCTTCTCCCCGCTTCCACCCCCCGCTGCTTCTGAGATCCCGCTCCTGATTGGCGAGCGATGGAGTCCCAGTCTGTGCAGTGTTCGAGTCCCGCTTGGGGGTGGTGGTGTGGGGGAGAGTAGAGGGAACCTGGGACCCTCGGGAGACGCATGACAGGAAAGTGTTGGAAGGTCACAGGCAAGCAGGTCCCCACGGGAGCGAGTGACTGGCCCAGCTGGGGCTGATTATCTCCTGGAGAGGGCGGGGCCTGGGCCGAAAGTCATGAGGCAACTTTATGCTAGAGTGCGGGTCACCGTATGGAGTCACCTCACTACAATGGGGTCATTACACCTGTCACCTGCACACCTCCTGGGGCCCATCACACAAACCTTAACCCACTCTATCCCTATCCTCTAACCCTAAATATATGAATAAAACCTGCTGGGTCCATTTCTGTTGGCTGTGTGTTATGGTTTCAGGACTGAATATGATATTTTGCATATAAAAATAGGGAGCTCATTCCTGTCTGAGGCTAATTCACCCACTTGCAGGAGAATATTACTCTGTTGGGCAACATGAATCTGACCCTTAAGTGACCTAGACTGCCTTGGACAGAAAACATTACCAAGAATAGAAAACATGGACTGGTAAATACCTCAGCTAACACTTGCTGGTGCCATGAACCTGAAGTTCTAGAGCTTCAGGGAAGACTATAGACACTGTCCTGAGTCAGTCAGCCACCTTAGGTTCCATGGGCCTCCAACCATACTCTATTTAGACCATTCTCATCTTGGATGACTTTGAAATCCTGAAATTCCTGTCTCCACTGAGTATCATGGTTACAGGTCTATGCCACCATAGAAATACCACGATTTCTAATAGGTCTTAATAATAAAAACCCTGAGTCAGGTATCAGGGGTGAAAGCTGGAAGATCAGAAAAGCAGAGCAGCCAGCCACTGGAGAGTTTTTACCTCTACCAATGCTCAGACCAAAAGGGTGATCCTGTCTCTGAATCCTCAGACTGAAAGCTTTGAGCTCCTTCCTGTCTGTTCTCACCTTTAATCCTAACACTTAGGAGGCAGAAGCAGGTGGATCTCTGTAAATTCAAGGTCAGCCTGCTCTACAGAGCTAGTTTAAGGACCGCCAAGGCTACATAAAAAGCCTGTCTTTAGTTGTCTGTAATGTAACCACCTACAATTCAGGTACACTGGAGACACAATGGGCAAATCTGTCTGATGTTCTAGAAGAGCCTAGTAGTAGTCTATATAGTGAGTTTCAGGCCAGTCAGACATTCATACTGAGAGTATTTTTTAAAGATTTCTTTATTAATTATATATACAGCATTCTGCCTCCATGTATGCCTCACACCAAAAGATGGCACCAGATCTCATTATAGATGGCTGTGAGCCACCAAGTGGTTGTTGGGAATTGAACTCAGGACCTCTGGAAGAGCAGTTAGTGCTCCTAACCTCTGAGCCATTTCTCCAATCCTGAGAGTATTCTTTAAGATGGAAAACAATAGAAAAGATAAAAAGAGCAAATTATTATTATTTTTAAGACACAGTTTCTCTGTGTAGCTTTGGAGCCTCTCCTGGCACTTGTTCTGTAGGCCAGGCTGGCCTTGAACTCAGAGATCCCCCTTATTAACGAAAAATTGTAAACATGACATTTTCCAGTGTGACTTATTTGGAACAGTGATGAAGAGAAAACCTTGGGGTCCTAACAGGTTTCGATAGATGGCAACAATAGTACAACTAAGTAATATAATAAGCCATATAAAGTTTTCCCACCTCTAAAACCCCTCCCCCAACCTCAGCTCCTGTCTCTCCTGCAAGGTAGTCAGATATGGAGTAAATGTTTCTTCAGTGCAGACATTCTCATCTGCAGGAGTCAGTCTTTTCCCACAATGAGGTTCCCAGGGGAATTAGAATTTCATGGTATCTACTGTTTCACTAGTTGTTAGCCAAAGGGAGAGATATGTCTCTTAGGACATCCTTATTCCTGCCAGGCAGGCAAGTACCAGGGATTGATGGGGTGGAGACTGAGGAGCTTTAAGGTCCTAGTGGGGACTGCAAAGAGAGGGCTGCAGGGTACTGTCACTGACAGCTACGAGTTGACAAAAAAGTAAAGAAAGAGTGGAAGACCTGGAGGGGGAATGACCCACCATAGCTGAGTGGATACAGTACACACTTCATGCCAACTTGTCCTCAGCTACACCCCAAACACTGCTCTCTGGCATTTGAACTTTGGGCTTTCACACCCAAAGCTCCATCCCTAATACTTCTTCCAAACTCCACAACTCTTTGTGAATGCCTGATTGCCTTAGCCTTGGAGAGACTTCAGTTCAAGTCTCAGGATCTCCAGACAACCTGGATGTTATCTATAGTCAGCACCATTCAGGGTCCTAACTGGAGGTTTTTCAGGCACCGGGGAAGCAGAGTACAACCCCATTCAGACAAGTCAGGCTTGCCTGCATGTTCCTTTTCCTTCCTTACAGGAGGTCTAAACTCAAGCATGGTACACCTGACATGTGAGCTTGTGGGCTCCCGTTGCTGCCTCTTTACCACACTGGAGTTAAATTCACTCTTGTAGCTTTGGTTAAATGGTCAACCATCTTCTAAAGATTTTTATTGTCAGTTTCTCTCCTGATCATTCTTTGTACTTTACCCTCATTTTGTGGAGATTTAGGCTCAGAAAATTTAAGCACCACGTCTAAGTTTCTGATGCTACCAATCTTATATTTCTTCTGGGTCAGCAGGGCTGAGGTAAAGATGAACTTAGATAAGCCAGTCACACCTTACTGCTATTAATGACAAACTCGTGGGGCTGAATAGAAGGCTCAGTACTTAGAACACTGGCTGCTCATCCACAGGGGCTGGCTTTGATCCCCACACCCACAAGACAGCTCATAACTGTCTGTACCTCCCATCACAGGGAGTTAAGACACCATCTTCTGGTCATCACTGATACCTGGCATACACTTGATGTACTCACTGACAAAACTTATACACTTAAATTTCATTCTCTTTTAAGATAACAGGCACATGAAGAAATTTTTTTCCAGTACAGAATCACTTATATTTCTGTCTTTTCACCATTTGCACAGCATAATGCACCAGACCCGAGGACAAGGAAATACAGGTGGCTCTGACCAATCTCATGTGGGTGTTAGGAATCAAACTTGGGTACCCAAGAGCAGCAGTACTACTGAGCCAATTCTCCAGGTCCCAAATATCTCGTTATCATGCTGAAGATGAAGGTGTCCTGTTGCTGGAGTTACTTTCCTGCCAGGTTCCGCTGCCGCCTCAGCCCCAAATAAACACACAAAGATGTTATATTAATTATTAATCAGTTGGCCGATGACTAGGGCTTATTGGCTAGCTGTCTTAGTTATTAACCCATTTTTATTAATCTATGTATTTCCACATGGTCTTGTCTTACCAGAGAATGCCTGGACCTGTTACTCCTTTGTGGTCTACATGGTGTCCTCTTTCTGGTGCCTCTCTGCCTATCTTTCCCAGAATTCTCCTTGTCTCCTAGTCTCGCCTATCTTCCTACCTCTATTGGCCAAACAGTGTTTTATTCATCAACCAGTAAAAGAAACATATACAGAAGGACATCCCCATCATCTCCTTTTTTCTGTCTAAGTAAAAAGAAGGGTTTTAACTTTAACATAGTAAAATTATATATAATAAAACAGTGATTAAGAAGAAAAAAACGATAGTTACGATGTTTATTCCATTAACATTTGGCAAACTTAAAGAAAATATTCTATCATCTATCCTATCTTTGTGAGTCTAAAGTTTTTGTATGTAACTTATCTTTTATCATGACTAAGGAAAACCCATAACCATAACTATCTGTCTTCAATTCCATCAAAGACATCAGAAGGACAATATATTGACTTTGGAATTGACAGAGATATCTCACTGGACAGTTGCCCAAAGTTCTTCTGTAATGTTGGGGCATCCATCTCCAGCCTACAGGCCTAGTGTGTCTGGCAGACTCCTTAGTGAAGCAGGGAATTTTAAACTGTCTACCTGTATTGGCAGTTTGTCAGTCATTTTTCTCTGTGTCCTGCAGAGTACCTGGCAGACTCTTCCATGAAACAGGAACTCTTCAGGACTGTCATATTTTGTTTTGCCAAGTTCAGCAGTCACTTTCCTGTGGATCCTGCATGTCTATTTATACAGCATACAGTCAAACAGTCCAGGCAAGAGCAGTTTCTTGC